ATCATTCCAATTATGTATTTTTTAAAATGTTGCTCTGTCAGGTTTGAATCCCGCCCTATTGGTGTGGCCTTGGGCAGGTTACGTCAGGTCTCAGTGCCTCAGTTCCTCCTGGGTGGAATGCGGATGGTGATACTACCAGCTCCCTGAGCTATTTTGAGGGTCCAAAGAGCTTCTGAGTACACAGAACTTAAGCAGCGCCTGGCCCCAGGTCACCTCCACGTAAGACTTGGCTGTGATTAGACAGTGTCTGGAGGTCAATTCCCTCACTCGTGGCTCCTAATCAGTTCTTGCTGAAAGGTAGTTGTCATTTTTAATTTCTTTCTCTTCCACTATCTTAATTCCTTCGACACCCACCTTGCAATTACAATTCCCTTTAAGGACTCTCTAATCCCTCCTCTTTTGTTGCCCATCTGCTGCCACTCACAGTAAAGGTGTGCAGACATTTTTTTTAACATTACTCTGATCAATCTAGCAAATTAAGTGACATACACAGAAGACAAGAATTCATTAAGAAAAAAAACCATGAGTATTTATTTTAAAACGCTGGAATCAGAGTTACTGAGAAACGGGCTTACGTTGTCTTGCTCTGTGGGAAAGGCACCGATCCCAACTCTAGTTGTGTAAGCTTTCACAACTCCATATACCTCGCCAACATTCTGCGGGGGCATACCCAGTCCGGTGCAGACACCTCCCACTGTGCAGTTTGAAGAGGTTACAAAAGGATACGTTCCTAAAAACAGAAACAAATATTCATATACACACCTAGATATACATTATTAAAAAACAGAACTATGAAAATTCTGCATTTGGGTACATTCTAGGTATTTGACAGACTTTAATATAACTATAACCATCCTCTCAAAGCCTCAGTGTTTTTTTTCTTGATTCTTTTTGTCTGTAATGGGATAAAAACATAGGTGGTTAGAGCTATAACTGCACTGCTTACACTGGAGGGGCTCCTTAAGCGCATGCACAGTTTACTCAGCTCTGTATGGCAGGTACTCACCTAATGAATTGCTAAGTAATTTAATACCAAAACCCTGGTGCTATTCTACTATGTAGATTTATAATCTATGTATTTTAACACTCTCCTGTTAGTTTCAACAAATTAATTCTGTTATGAATCAGGCATAGCAGCAACCAAGAATGACAACAGTATACTAAGAATTTTGTAGCATTTCAGCATTTTCCTGCCTTTTGAGTAAGCTAAGAGTGGTGTACTCCCCCTGCCAAGATCTTCTTCATACTTAAAGTATTCAGTATGATAATTAGATATTCTGNGGAATCTGAGTCTCTACAACAGATTATCCACAATGTCCAATACTCAACCAAAAATCATTAGACACAGAAACAGTGATCCACAATCCAGGGGAAGAATAGTCAAGGGAAACCAAAGTGGAGGTGCCAGGGTGTCAGGCTAACAGATAACGACTACACGTTTTCCTAAGAACTTGCAGCTATCCTCAGTCCCTAAGGGCTAGTCATCATTAGCAAGCCACAAAACCTATCAGCCTACCAAGCTTCATTAAGCTAGTCAATATTCCTTCATCTGGCATATTCCCAGTCTTACAGGATGGCGAAACCAATTAACAGTTCCTGTTTCTGGAAGCTGGAAACATTCACAGAACTTCCTGAGTGAAGAAATCATATAACTAAAGATGTGCCTGAAAAACCACATGTCCTCAAGTAGGAAGTCTCCTGACATCCATCCACTTAGACAGAATAGAGATTAGAGAAAATCATTCGTGCGGCTTGAAGGACGGGGTGGGTCAATGTATTAAGGCCTTGATTACCCTGACAAGCATGGGCTCTTTTCTCCTACCCCACATTTCTCAAGGGAAAGTAACATAGACGTTACTTTCACAATAAGCTGATGACATTCGGGAGCAGCGTAGCTGGGCTCAGAGGTACCATGTTTCTTTCCTATTTTTGAGTTTGCTTTCTGAGACCCAGTACCCTAATGTGTAGCAGCTATGAAACAAATGCCCATAATAAGTGAATATACTTGCACTATTCACAAAGGGCATAATAAGCTTGTGGCTAATAGTCAGAAATTATATGTCAGAAGAGCTTTATGAAATTGCTCTAATACATTCACCTAATAATATTCTTTATACATGGCCTAAAAAAAAAAGTACCTGGGAAATGAGGTATGATTTCACCATCTAACTTGTAAGCAACTCCAACTTTGATTTCCGTAAACATGTCCAAAATATCCAATTTGGTAAGTGCCAACCTTAATTTTGGAAGAAAAGACAAGGTAAAAACAGCAAACTTTTAAAGGATTATGTTTTAAAACACCACACATAAAACACAAGACAATATACTGATGCATTTTCCTCATAATAAAAAAAAAATGACTTAACTAATCTACTAGTGAGCTACTTTTCTAATAATTATAATAGATTTTCACTGACTGAGCCACACCCCTGGCTTAGCTGTCTTATGATCAACACCTATTTTGGGGGCTGCCTGGAGTGAAGGTCGCAGGCTGTGATGTGGAACCGCAGAGCTCACTGTCCCTCAAGGACCACAAGACATTGCACATTTACACACACGCCATCAACACTCATGTCTGCACTCTGCTTATAATCACCTCCATCCTTCTGGTCAGAAACTGTCAAAGGAGAGTGAGGAACACACATCAAGGAACGCCATGATAACCTCAAATATCCCAATAAACTGACTGACAAACAGAGCTTTAAGGGAAAATCTGTGGAAATTACATAAAACACTAAGTTTGGGATTCTCATCCACAAGTTACTTTTTATCCTTTATTCTGTTATTTGCAAGGAATTACGCCTAAGTAATAGATATGAATACATTTATTTACATATTTATGTATATGTGTTAATAACTTACTGAGCATTTTCACCTATTTTTTCAAAAACCTACATTTCTCACCTATTTTTTCAGAGCACCCTATGACATAGGTAATGCTATTATCTAGATATTAAGGTGATGAAAAAAAAAAAGCACAAAANATAATTTACAGAGAGAAATAAGTTTTGTGTTCTATACAAATTAAAGGACCCATGAATATATCACCCTCCCCACCAAAGCTCAAATTTGCAATGGTCTCAGCAGAAAATAAACGGTTCACAATTTAAACAGAATTTATAGCATTACAAAAGTTTACAGAACTCCTTTCTTACCATCATTTTTTTCTAACAGCAAAGATTACAATGACAGAACTGAATGATCAGAATGTAAAAATATTTGTGCAAAACTGCATTACCATTGTTCTTACCATTTCATAGAGGTAAAACCTATGAACACACAATGACAATAATGAAGAAGAACTACACTGAAAGTAACTCTATTTTAGATTTCAAACAACATGGGCTATACCATTACTAAACATTTAAAAAAAAAATGTGGCACCATGAGCAGCAGGAGCAACAAATGATTTCGGCGATTGTGCCCGCTAAGGTAGCCGGCACTGGAATAAGCCGAAGTCTATCTCCATACTAGCCATCCATCGTGAAAGACGAAACAACTGTGGGCTTATGATTCATGTCAATGTCTTTATTCTTGAAATTTGTAGATCATAAATGAAATACTTAAGAAAGTCCTTTTCCCCCCTTCTCCAGGAGTGTTTCTTGTGTCACCGGAAATCCTTAGAAGAGCTGAATCATAGACTCTCTGGATTTACCTACACCAATCCATTTAACTGGGAAGGGAAGGAAAAAAGTGTCAGAAGAGTATTAATTCTTTATAAGGGTCAATCTTTGGGATTAACGGACCTCCCACTTTTTTCATTGTCACCATTTAGCTTTTTGTGCCTTTTGTTACCTTTTTGTTCTATTCTGTCGCAGATTGAGCCAGTTTCTAAACCCTCGGAATGTGCAGAGATCCAGCACAGGGTCGTTTGCCGTATGGTTTCCTGTTGTAACTGCCTGATATTTACAATTCCTCAATTCCTAATAATGAAGCTAGAAAAATACTGGTCCAAACTAGCAGGGAACTAAAGAACCTTTGATCAAGTTCCTAATAACTAGAAAAGATAAGCACCTTTGATAAATGGATGATGCTTACAGGATACTGAAGTGTCATGGTCACTTCTACATCTCAAAAAAGCAGAAATACCTGGAAGAAAACTGTTTTAACTTGCACAGCCTTAGGAACTGCCTACTGTACCAGCCTATGGGCATCTCTAATCAGCTGCACCTCATGGGTAAATCTTTATGGTATTTTATAGATGTCATTGTTAAATTCGCTTGTTTATGTTTCAAAAAATGTTGACCAAAAGGAGTGAGCAAATATGCTTACTGAATAGGACATCAAGCTAGAGGGGGCAGCTGGTGAGATGGAAAACAAGATTCATGCTTGAGATGAACCACAAAACAGAATCAGAATAAGTACATAATAGATTTTAGATGGAGGATCCTTCCCACCCACTTCACTTTTTGTCTCTCAAATTTCCTTCGGTGCAAATAAAAAGGAAAAAGCAATGTTAGGAGAAAAAATTTTACATAACTAGTCACAGCCAAAACTTGGTTATGCCTCACTCCCTGACTAGCTTATACCAGAGGTGACAAAAGAATGTACACAAGTGGACACTTTGGTC